GCGGAGCCGGCAAGGTCCCGCCCCGCGGAGCCCGGGCTGCGGGAGGAGGGGCCGGCGGCGCTTGGCTGCGAGCGAACTGGTGCCTTGGAAAGCTATACAGGGGGTTGTCACAGGCCAGAGGGTTTTCTTGGGTTTGTTGTTTGTTTTTTTTCACGAAGTAGTTGCCTGTGGTTTCACCGGCGTTTGAACTGTCCCAGAGGACAAGTGAATATTGCCGCCTCGTCAGGCAAAATTACAAAACAACCCAAAACCCAACAACCCATCCTGTTCATTCTGTAAAACTGAAATGACTCAAAGCAAAGCTCAGTCCTCCGCTTGTGGTTTTTTTTTTCAGTCAATTAGTAACTAACTGCCACTTGTAGCATTATGCAAATGAAATGGGCCATTACTGCAGTTTTATGACCGTTAAATAAAACATGTGGTTTCCTGGGCAGTTACTTGGAAATGCCATCACCTGATAACTTCACGGTTGTTTGCAAAAATGCAAACGTGCAACTTTATATTTAATAGGAACTATTTATATCTGTCATGCCTGGGAGTGTTACTTTTATATTAGTTCAGACTTTGAACAAAGAACAAGTTCTGTAAAAGCTTAGTTAAAAGCTGATACAAACACAACATTGTCCAGTTCAACCCAAAAGCCATCAAGCAAGTGTGAACTTGTACACCTGAAGCTGAACTTGCAGCTTGTGAAAAACACATTTTAAATAAAACTACATAAAGAAGGAGGAAATGAAATATTAAACCTTATAAAACCATGTAAAAACAAGGCTGAGTGACAGAGTATGGGGAAGGTCCCAGCTTCTATGAAAAGAACTTTCACAGCATATTCCATTCTCCTTATTGCTTTCACTGGGCACAAGGAGGTTTATTCTTGTTTAGACATGGAAAATAGATTAGTGTTCCTGAAGTTGTAAAAGGAAGACTTAGGGGAGAACCGATCTTCTGTTCAGGGGAGAAGAAAAGCAATAGATCATGTCAAATAGGCCACAATGTTTTAAATAACAGTGAGTGTGGGGAGGAAGGCAGGCAGGTGATCTTCTGAGATTGATTATTAATGGGCCAAAATAACTGTAACACGCTTAAATAGCTGCATGGGATAGGAGGGTTTAGACATCAGGAAAACCTCAAATAGCAAGGAAGTTCTGGTTGTGAAATTCTTGTGTGGTATCTCTCAGAGAAGTTATGTAATGCTTAATATAAAGATTATAAAAACAGCAAACACTTTTCTCAGTGCCAGTCACCTTTGCTCTGGCAAAGCAGTAGGAAATGCCTTTTTTTTCCCCCCTTTGAATCTCTCTCCCTTCATTTTCCTCTTGATTAGTCTCAGCTGAACATAGGAACACCCTCTGTGTGAAATTAAGTTAAACATACTTATCCAGGTATACTAGCAACATGACAATGTAGCTCTCTGCAAGCATCTACCCACAGGTCTTTGATGTTCTTTGGATCACATTCTAAGTGTCCTAGAGATTACAACAGAATATGTGAAACTCACTGATTAGTGTATTTAGAAAATAAGGTATGAATATGATGAAGTAAGTTTATCCTGTTATTTTCACCTATTGTGATGCCTTAACCCAGCCATTACAGAAATAATCATACAGCTTTAGTCTCCTAGCTTGCCCATCAGCAGCAATACAACGGATATATGCTGAGCTACAAATTATCCTACACTGCAGTAAAGAACTCTCTAAACGCAAAATTCAGTGCCATCTTGTGGATGATGAAAAAAATACAAGTAACAAACGGGCAGTATCTCACTTTTAATATAGTAAATATACAGTAACTTTGAATTACAAGATCACTTTCCAATGAAATTAATAGCAAAAATATCCACAAAATGTTCAAATAAATAACAAGACATGATTACCAACATCAAAAGCTGGGCTGCAAATTCTCAGGTAGTAGAGTTCCAGTCTTTCCAGATAGAGTGGTCCGTTTAATTATTTTTCAGAAGTAAACCCACTAATGCCAATGGAAGCAACAAATGCTCAATACCTTTAAAATAAGGCAAAAAGTAGTACATTATAGCTAATTTTATAATGTAGGAATTTCAACTATAATATCAGCTCCAAAAAGAATATCACCTACTGACTGAAAAAACTGCCAAAATACTCCCAAACTCCTAACAAGATCCTTTAAATAGCAAATACAACATAAAAGTTACCTCAAACAATAAATGAAACACAGACAGGACACAAGCAATAATGGGATTACAGCATAATTAAGCAGTCTGGAGTCAAACAAGACAGTTTAGTCCAGTGAAATAAGCATGGCCATCCTGTGCAGCACTACACCACTCTGCTAGCCTGCTGGGCATGGGCCGGCAGCAAAAATCAGAGGGGCACTGGGGGCAACATGGACAGCAGGGCTGGGATTTACATTCAGCATCCTGGGGGAGTGGCACCAGTGGGAGGTGAGAGCTCCCTACTTCTGGCAATCCACTTGCTCTAAACTCAACTTTCTCAAAACAAGTACTGCTGAGCCTTTTTGCCTCTGTAAGAAGTACTATCATCCCATGACCTTGACTTCGTACCAGCAAACATGACCTCTTATTTGGAAAGAAAATTACAGTCCGGCTTATCAGCCTTAACAAGCGTCCGCCCCATGATGTGGGGATTGATTTGAGTCTTCCTTGCAAGGCTCCTCCATGTGAGGAAGCTGTGAAGCCCCTCTTCCCGGAACGGTACACGCTGCTCACACAATGATAACCCCTCTTTGCAGCATAACTTCTGAGGGACTGCAGAAGCTTGGTACCTGCCCTGCTAACAGGGTGAGGATCTGCAGGCATTGTGCAGAAACTTCAGAACTGAAAGGTACAGGGGAGGTAAAATGTTAACTGACCACTGTATTTCACTGCAAAGATGGTAGTAATGGAGAAAAAAGAAATATGTCAAGAGAAAAACAGTATTTTAAAAAAATTCTTCATGTTATACATTAAAATTACACTTTAGCATTACTAAGGAAAACAGTTCATATATACTGGAGTAAAATTCTGTTTCTTCACATCTTTGTAACAGGGTAATTTCATTGAAAAAACCAGAATTGTTCAAAGCTTATACTAGTATAACTGAAGTAGAATCTGGCTGTTTATTCAAAATGGAACCTGAGCATATTTGTTCTGTAGGTAGTTCTGCAGAACATTAAACCTTTAAATTATCTAGAAAAAAAATAATCACTCTTTAAATATCTCACATCACAGTAAACCTGTTCTTCAAGAAGCCTCATCAATGCTAGGCTTAGACACATATACACTGCGAAACCTAGTGAAAAAAAATATAGCCACACAAACACTTTGTTGTGGAAGTATTTTCATTCCAAAGTGAATGAATTTGATGGAATAACTGTTTCTGCTATATTCAGAAGTGCTTCTAAAGACAATACCCATCAATACAAAGTGAAGGAAACATAAACCACAGTCCTCCTCATAAAAGGAGCTCTTTTTATCTATAGGCCCAGCACATAGTCAAGTTAAAATGGAAGCAGAAGTGCTGCAGGATAAAATCCAACCTTGCAGGTCTGCTCACATCAAGAGCTGTTTGTTGAAGCAAACACAGAATTTCTATTTCTGTATATGAACAAAGAAAACTGTGTAAGAAATAAAATCAATGAACAAAAATTAGACTTGTGCGATTACCATGTGGGACAAACTATTTGACCAGATCACAGCCAGAGCTTAATGATGAACAAGTACTCAAACTCATTTTAAGTAGCATCACCATCTTCCCCTGTCTAACATTTTAGTCTCCAACAACTGATGCCCATCAGATCACAAGCACTACATTAAAACAAAACTTTCCTAGGTCTGTGAGAAAAAACTTCTCTCAGTGTCAGTCACCTTTGCTCTGGTCAAAGCTGACAGACACACTATTTATTTATTTTCTAAAAAGCGACCTTGCAAAATATGCCTGTATCTACACGCCATCCTTATAAACTAGGAAAGCATTAATATAGAGTAACATTTCAGAGGAAAATTAAGCATATGCTAATACTCAGTGCTATAATAACACGCTAAATTAATTACTGCATCTGACAGAATTTGTTTAAAAACCTGCTATTCTGGTTATTGACTTGATCCTGCTCACCTTGCTTCTGGTGCTTGTAACAGTGTGCTAAATCGTGCACTAAAGCAGCGCTTACTGGCAAGAGCAGTCCTACTGAATTTCACTGCTATTAATGTCAATCAGGAAAACTTGACTAATGAAGGCTTGCAGAATTTGGCCAGAGCTTGGAATTCTAGCACTGGATGCAAGAACCCATCTACGAAAAGCTGAAATACATGATGAGCCTGGAACAAAATAAAAGGATGAAATAGCAACAATAGAATGTGCTGGTCCTCTGCAGTTGCTGGTGTTGAATGCCACCTTCTAAATTTTACCACACCTCTGACACAGCCAATTTATTTGATCTTTGAGCATGTCAGATTAAGTTTCACTTTTATTGCATAGAGCTGAATGTACATGCAACTACAATTAATCTTAACTGTAACTTCACAAATATTGAATATGGAAATATAATACTGTATATTACATTTGTTTCCTTTATGAATTTCAAATTTCACATTTGGTCTCCAGTAAACTAGGAAAAAAAACCCACTAAAAATATTTCTTAGACTATTCCTGAGCAATATTTTTATGTACTGTAAAATACTCTAGTTTATTACTACATTTATTAATATTCTCACATTTTAAACTACATATAAATCCATGCTTTGAAATTTTACAAAGCTGAAGATCTGGTAGGCACAATGAAAGGATAGAAACAGCTAAGCGTCTTAAAACCAAGATGAGATCAACAAGAGAAGTGCAATTTAACTATATACATAATGTACTCTTTAGTATTTGCTACTTTTTCATTTTCTATCACAATGTGAAGGATCCACATGTAAAATCTGGTCCATCAGACCTCAGCCCACTTCTCAACAGTTCACTGTGACTGGGGCTGAGGATGAACTTAATGCTGCTCAGTATTTAATTTTAAAATGAAAGTACAGAACATCTTCTAGAATTTCATCTTCAACAAGACTGTGTCCCCAGATGCTGTGATTGTTTTGAAACTGTAACAGATGAACTGAACTATCCTCCATATTCTCTTGTATCTCACAGACAGAAGAGAAAACAGAGGGTGCAAGGACAGGACTCAATCCTGGTTGTACAATTTCTTTCTGTAGGGTATTTCCCCAAGTAACTTCACTAAACCTTGAAACAAGAAACCAAACTAACTGACATAGACTGGACCATGGGATAAATAATAGTCATCTTGGGTGACTACAAACAGGTATCTTTTGTATCAAAATATATCTTTACTTGAACTTACAATAGCCTTTAAATTTACCCGCTAAAAGTCTATTTTTTATATTTTGAGAGGCTACCAGTTCTGCAAATTAGGCCACAGAGTCTCTAGTAATACCCTTATTTTGCATTATTCATATATATCCATGTGCAATTCAAAATTTGGTCATTTCCTCTAAATGACAAACAGCATCAAGGCTTACAAAATGAACTTCAAGGAAAGCTGTCTGTAAACACAGTGAAGATTTCTGGGTATAAAAATACACATTCCATTTTCTTAATCTGTCACTACTAAAGCTGTCTGCCCCCTAATAAATTTTTGTCTTAAAAAGAATCCTTTCTACACTAAAATATTTCAAAACATTATTTCCATTCTTCTTATCAAGAAAAATCATCCAAAAAATCCAATTCATCATCTTCTGTGAAGAATCAGAGTTTGACTTTGCATAGATAAACATGCTCCGTTGTTTTATAAAAACAGTCAAGCCCTTTTCCACCAGAAAACATCACCCTCGAACCTGGCTCACAAAATAGTGTATCTGTTAAGAAAAAGATCATGGACCCTATTCTCTTAAATACACCAAGGTAAGCATAAGAAACACCACAGACTTCAACTGGTGCAAATAGGAGGACATGTTATATACTTCTCTAAACTTCTCTAAACTTTCATAGTCTGCTACTGTTGTCTTCATTGAACAATTGTAAATTTTGAGGAAAGACCAATGGAAGACACTTGCCTTCAGGGAAAAGATTTCCTGCTGGCCTTGCTGGCTTAAGATCAAATGTATTGAAATGAACAGTGCTGACCTTCCTATAAGGAAAACACGACCCTTCTGCATTGGCCAAATGCTTTCTAGCAGTCAAGAAGCATCAACATTTACTAATGAAGTTTTCTTCATTTAAATTTGTGTGATGTTTCCTTCGTGCCATTTGGTTTTATTTTCCTGTCCCCTGTTGGTTTTTTAGAAGGAACATAGTTGTTGACATTGCCATTTTTCTTTGGATTTGTACACGTGTATGTTTTCAAGCCTTTGATGGGAGCAGCTGAACCATGAAATACTGGGGTTTGCTTAGGGGGTCTGATATTACCAACACTTTGAATTTTAGAACTGTTGTCAGAGGGCTGCATATTGAGAAGCTGTTGCTTTGCAGCTGTTTTTTTCCTCAGTTCACTCCTTACTTCACCAGATTGTCTCTGAGAAGACATTGCACATCCCGTTCTCTCAGAAAGTTTCAAGTGACCTGGATGAGAATATAACTGGCGACTTTCTTCACAGAATGAATCTCCCCTGTGACCTGAATAGCTTCTGGGCAGCTTTGCAACACTTTCTTGGGGAAGCGCTTGCTTGTTAGGCAAAGGGCTGAGCAATGCTTTGCCTTTGCCAGGGCTTTTTAGGGTACGGATGGAGCCGGGAGCAGTTTGTGGTCTGGCTTTGGCTGCCCTTCCTTTCTCATTCTGCACAGTCTGCATTTGCAGCCATTCCAGCTGCAAAAGACGATCAATGTATTTCTCAAGAAATCCTGTTGGCTTTGGTCGAAATTCAGTTTTACCCTCTACATTAACAAAGATGGCCAGTTGCTTCAAGTCCCATGAGTTGAAAGGGGGTGGGAGGAAGTCTGGGTAGTAATATTCTGATTCTTTAAAACCCGTCTCAGGAACATGTTCCAAACAAACTGGATCGATTTCTTCAGCTCTGAGAATGAGTTCTGGGGGTGTGCAGGGAGATGGGGGAATGGCAATCCTTTCTGAATCAGAGAGATCACTGGCACTATCATCTTCAGCATCATCTTTAATAATTTGTACTGATTCAAAATCAAGAAACATTTCATCTACAGATGCTTCTTGCCATTTAGAAGAGCAAGGACCAGCTTCAGCAACATGTTCTTCCTGATTCTTTTCCAACTGTTCTTTTTCACTGCAGTAAAAATGTTGCACTGGGACATGTTTAACCCTACAGAAGCTATCTTGTGTGCTGCCCTTTATGCCAGGAGGAATCCTGGGCAGAAAAGATTCATTTTGCCTTCTTTCTGGGAGAGTCCTCTTTGGTCCTTGTACTCCGTGCAGTGATGTGCAAACAGTTGTGATACTAAATAAAAAGAAAGATCACACCCTGTTAGAATGATTAATGTCTTTGGAACATCAGTTTACAAAGGTCTTGCTACCCCCTTGAAGGACACAGACCTAAATGAATGAAGCTAAAATTGTCACGGAAATCTGGTAATGAGGTAAAATTAGTATCTGCTGACAGGTTTAACTATTGATTTTTTTGTTTTATTTTATTCTGATATTGTCTAAGAACTTACTAAGGCAGGACAGTAAGTTTCCATATTGATAACTTAAATTTGTTGTCCTCATAAATGCTGAATTTTGGGGCCAGTGAAGTCAAAGGCAAAACACAGAAGCCATGATTTCATCACAAGTATTGTATATACCAGTTTGAAATCACTACCAATTAAATGAACAACCTTAACATAAAACTACCTTTTTGACTGAGTGTTATCATCCAGCTGGTTTCTTCCCTTCTTAAAAATACTTGGTTGGTTACTATCTTGAGTGCCATGAGAAATCTGAAAAGGTATGAAAGTATGTGACTTTATTAAGAAGCTGACATGACACAAGTACCCTTTTTCTGTAAACAAACAACAAAAAGGAATGATTTACCTTTTCAATGGCACTTGATACATTTTTGCCTAATCTTCCAGGAGGAGATTTCACATGAGAAATTGGTTTATTTAGTCCTTTGGTGCTCAGATGGCTTTTTCCATTACTGTAGCTAGAAAGGATTAAGCAGAATATCACATATAAAGAACAACATACACAATCATCAGAACAGAAATACAACAGAAGTTTAGAGTGCAATTCACTTTAAAACAAGAGAGTTGATTGCAGCTATTCTTAGAGTTACAAGTCCATCAGACCTATGCCATGGTCACTTTTTATTTTTAATAGTACTAATGCACTACTGTTTTTTTAACACTGCTAATGCAAAAGTGAATAATCCAATCAGATTACATAATAATAAAACTTAGCCCTTACATAGAATCCTCTGTGAAAGGATCACAAAGTTACTTTGGGGATAATAAATAGTAAATATTAGAGATTACATATTTAATTACTAATTTTTATAGTAGCTGGTACATGATCCTACTGCAATTTAATTACATAATTATATAATTAATTACAAAGTACAATATGAAGATCACTGCAAGACAAATCTTGCTTGCCTCTCTCATTTGCATACTCTCAACAAAATTAAAGGCTTATTCCTAGGAAGTTAAGAAGTGGATGTGAGCAGGAAGCATACAGTCTATTCTGGTATCAATACAAACTATTTCACAACAAAGGCACAAACAAAATTCACCATTTCATGCTAAAATAGGGTGAGTGGAAACATCAATAGGAGAAAAAAATCATATGCAAGCAAAAGGAATGGGATTACTGATGTGGACAGCTTAAAACTATAATACATATTTCCTCAATTAAATCTGATATATTTCTGTGTAAGCTCACAGAATCACTAAGTAAGTGTATTTTGTAAGAATCAGAAAACAGTGTCTGTTCTACAAACAAGAAATATGACTAATTTTAAAAAGGAAGGCTTTCAAATGTTGTTTTGGAGCAGGAATCAGCAAACTGCCCTCCCCATCTAATCTAGTTTGACTGCAGTTCAGTTAATTTGTCAGGCTGTATATCTTGTTCAGTTTTTATGTCAATATAGTCAGATTTTGTTTTAAAAAAACATTATTTCAGCAATTCAAGAGCTTATAAAAGCATGAAAATAAGTCTTGTGCCTCCAGCACTGATGCAATCACCTCTGTCACTTTGTGACCTGCATGATCATACTGCACAATCATTTCTGTTGCTGTAGGTCAGAGGAAAGAATCTGAAGAGTACAGCCATGAACTTAATTAACTAATCTACAGTATTTAGAGACTTCTGTAACTAGAAAGAGAAAATAATTTCCTTACTTTACCATTCCTTTGTGGTTTTCATTGATTTGGCTTTCCTTTTTCTGTGTCTCTCTGTGCAGTAATAAGGGATATTCTTGAATGCCTGGTCCCATTATTACTCTTTTTAAAGGGTATCTGCACCTTTACTTTTACATAATCTTCAAACGACTCCAGTCTTTTGGGTTCGTGAGACACAGCGTATCAAATGCAAACATCATCACGTCCTAGAGATGTAGTAAACAATCACCATGCGATTCTTCCCAGTGTGATTTATTTTTAAAGCAGGAAGATAATCAGCTACGAAACAGTACTGGAAAACACTGTCCCCTCCCCCAGTGCTCGCTTAATTGGAACCAGCAGCATTCTCCTTACTATTGTCGATCCATGCCGAGCTGTCATCACGCCGGGTACCGAGCCGAGAGCCGAGGCGAGGGCAGCCGTGCTCCCGCTCCCAGGGGCACAGGTTGGCCACTAAAGCCGCAGAGCCAGCCAGGGGAGCGAGGCGCAGGCTCTGCTGGGGGAAGCCCTGCTGCTGCTGCAGCCACCGGGCACAGCCCTCCGTCAGCCCCGGCACCCCACCGGTGCCGAGGGAGGCTGGGCCAGCCACCCCGCAAACCACCGAGCTCTTGCCATGAGGTTTACGAGCCCGTCCCTGAGACTGTTGGTAAAATACAGGAAAACAGCTGAAGGTACAGCAGCGTTAGAAGAGCTCCTTTTCATTGTGTAACGTGCTCATCATCATGTTGTTCCTCCTGCGCAGCATTGCATGTATTGACTGGAGCCAAGTATCACAGTCAAACGGTGGTGGGTGTTTCTGCTCTTAATTTAACAAGAGCAGCTGATCAACCACCTGCGTTCTGTGCATGTCAGGTTGTCCTTTTCGTGTCTGAATATAGGCAGAGTGCGTTTTCTTATATGCAAATTTTGTATCAATTACTTAATTTGTTTCTTTTTCCAAAACAAATCTCTCAGGACTCATAAATTCCTACTGAAACTACTCAGAGCAGAACTAGCAGCATTCTTTCATTTTCCAGAAACTGCATTCCCGTACCGGGGTGTGCAGGCACGATCTGCTAAAGGTGACAGGTGACTAGCACCAACATACCTCACCTTACCCACCTTTAGTCTTGTTGCAGCGCTACTTAGCTACTTATGTTCGTATCTATTCACACTTGGTGCTGCCCCGTGTCCTAGATGCCTCTCTGCCCCTCGCCTCTCGGGCCAGGGGGGAGCGCAGGGGCGGCCGTCTGTCCGCGGCGCCTCCCGGATAGCCCCGGAGCGCGGCCCGCGCTCTCACAGCAGCACCCCCACCCCCGCCGCAGGGCAG